ACACCACGGCATACACACACACACCACAACACAACACAACACAACACAACACAACACAACACAACACACCACAACACAACACAACACAACACAACACAACATGCCACAACACACCACAACACAACACAACACAACACACCGCGCACACACACACACACATGTTCGATTTCCCACTAACTCCATCCTCATATGCTGTTTTTTCCCCCTAGTATCTTTAGGAACAAGTGATTTGAGGCATCGCACCTTCGTAAAGTAAGCAATGGTCCGAGTCCAAGGCCAAGCCACAAATTCTTCTTTGGCCGCCCAAGCACTGTGCACTGACCAGCAAACGACTGGTCGGTGCCGGTGCAGGCGTGTTTTACCATAGGAGAGCCCCGAACGGCACAGCGGTTTTCCTTTCCCATTAAAGCCACAAGAGCGGGGTGCCCTCAAAAACGACACACCTGCATGTCAAAAAGCTCCAGGGTTGTCTTCTTGATCCTTTCCACCACCCAATGAAGACCTTCATTCAACACCACCGAAACCCATCAAGACCCTAGGTTTCTGAAAATAATAATGGTTGTTGAACATTAAACTGGATGCTTCCGTTTTAAGGGGACTCCCAGCACAAAAAATAAAGTGCTTTTCCATTTGAGGTCTCTTTGAAAGCACAAACTAGGCAGAGACCGGAAACAACGGAGAAAACAAACATAAGCTCAGGTGATATCCCCAACAGCATGCGGCGCTCTTTTTAGTGCTCGCACCACCTCGCAACCCTTTTCAGCTGTTGGGGAACAAAACAACAAAAACAAACGCCACATGGACTCGACCTCGCACCTTCTTGCCGATGATCCTTCCCACCATGGCTTGGTCCACCTCAAAGACCTGCGTCTTGACTCAGCGCGTAAGGCATCCCAGAAAAATGCGCGGGTGGCTCAAAAACAGATGCCTAAAACGCCGATTTGTTGGGGGTCCTAACCCCAAAAAAAAGGACACACCCAAGTTTCCTGTGTGGCTCAAAAGTAGGGGTCCAAAATGGGTTGCCCTGGTAAGTGGAAACATGGGTACCGAAACCTGCAGCTTGCCCCTCCTGTTTTTTTTTGAGCCACACCCCAATGCGGGGATGGCTTTCACCAATTCTCGAGTTTCGGGAAACAAGAGGACCGTTCTGAGGGTGCTACACATCTGGGTCCTATTTTGACCCATGAATGGGTTCTAACAAATGGAAACCAACAAGGCACGCTGCTTTTGAGGGTTTTAGAGAGATAAGAAGCATCAGACTTGGGTGTCATTTTTCCGTGGGCCCACTCATCTTTGGTTTTAAAGGGAAGCCAAAAAGGAAACTCATCATTTTGCAGGCTCCTTTATTTGACGGACCCCAACCGAAGCAGGTGACTAGAAATCTTTGACCTGCGCAGTGGGCTCGGGTGCCTACTGACAACCGGCTGGATGAGCCGACTTTCTGAGAGCTTGCCCAATAGCGGTGATGCCAGCACTACACCTGGGTCAACAAAACTGAGATGACGTCAAAACACGCTGACAGCAGTCCGACATAGGGTAGGGAACCTCACCATCAGTTGCGATGCAATGGCTCCTGTTTCCGTAAGCATATTGTTCGTATCCATCAGCTGATTGCCAAGCGCGTGATGCCATACAATATCTTACAACATATTCATACGCATTCGCCATTTTAACGCATGCGTAAATATGACGCAAACATCTGCGTTGCTCACATAAAACTTGGATGCATCGGATGGCTGGCTCGAACCCACTCGCCTGCTGACTCTGCGCGGAATGCCACTGCTTGGCCCTGAGCTCGAATGCCAACGGGGCCAGTTCCTTGTTGGGCCCGTTTCGGTGCCAACCAACGGGGCCCCGAACCTTGAGAGCCTTCGGACAGCGAAGGCTGGGCCAAGCTGATTTTTTATTGGCATCGCCGTCGGGCAAACTGCACTGCACGATTGCGGAACCGCGTGGAGCAACGAACACCTTGGCCACGGCAACAACTTCCGCCACAGAAACCAGCACCGTATCTACCCTCGGTTCCTTTCTGCTCCCCTGCTAAAAGTTTAACTTTTAGTGGTTTAATGGAAAACCCATTAGTTGGCAAAAAGTTGAAGTCCTAACTCCAAGCAAAATGCAACAAAGTGTTACCCCAACTGAACGATGCCTTCTAAAGGATTGCGATGCCTTCTCACTGGCACAAAAGCCAAGGGCCCTTGACTCAAACGTCCCCTTGCCACGCATGGGCAAACCCCAAGAGCTTGGTCCTGGCGCTCATACACATACCCACACCGAGAAGTATATATGTGTATAGATTTATGCGTGTATATATATATGCGAATGTATAGTGTACCAGAATGCACCAAAATGCACCACAACAACAAGATGTATTATGAGAAAACAACACAATCTACCAATGCCGCCTATGCTTATGTCATAATATAACAAGCAACAACCACGCAACATTTACTTTCAAACCACAATCTACCACACCAAAACACATAAACACAGAAGAACGACAAAGACATAACAACACAATCCACAAAAATATAGAACACACGAAGAATAAACGCGCCCATCCTGAATCACAAACACAACAACCGCACAACCACACATCTGTCAAATGAACTCCGTGAACTCGGGGAGACCCGAACAGCCCACAGCCCATGAGCTCCCATGAGCCAGAACTTGCTGGTTCTCAGAGAATGAGTTGGACTGACCCGCATGGCCCACATAAACCTTTTCTTTGGTGGTTTCCTTTTAGGGGGACCCCCAAACGCTTCATTCCCGAAACCCGGCCTCGGACATTCCTTACAGGCCTCCCTATATTTCCCCTTGAAACATCACTCCAAAAGGAAGCTCCTTTCCAATCGGCAACCAAAGGGTGATGTAGGGGAAATACAGAAAGCCCTGCCCTGAGGCGAGAAAAAGGAAAGCACCGAGAAACCCCGTTGACCCAGGGAGTCCGAGTGACACATTGAGGCGCTCCATGAGATGCTCACGCTGCTCGTGGAACCTACGGCTGGCTGCCGGCCGGTCAGTTCGATGCCAAGCCCTTGCTAGGCTGGTGTCGTTTTGGAGGCTACCCTTTTCAGGTTGCTTTAAAGGGAATCACAAGGAAAACAACAAAATTAGCGGGTCCTATCTTGACACATACCCAACATACTTTCAAGCATTTAGTTGTTTTTTTTGCTAGTGAACCCGGTAACCACATCCACCTCAAAATATCCTGCAACCAAACCAAACCAAACCTCCGGTAACTAACCATACAAGTGCCAGACTGAGACCCTTGGCACTCAGTGCTCCAAGGTTCCTTGATTTGCTTCCATCTCCATTCGCATGATATCATCCGTGGGGGGGATTTCCCTTCCACGACAGGTGGCGCATGTTCACAGAATGCCAAGCAAGTGTTCAGACTGAATCGGCTTGGAAAACAATAAGTCCAGTAGCATTTATGAATTTGGGAGTGCATGCAATTTGCCTTAGCCTGCTTCAATCATCTTAGCATGAGACACCTTGCGGGTAGTTGCTTTCAAGTTTACCCGATGGGGGGACTTTGCTTGTGCCAGGCAGTAATGATACTTTGGGAGCAGTCCATTTGGCTGGCAGTTGCCCACGCGACGGGTTTCGAGGCCTCGTCACTCATCCAGCAGGCGCAAAGGCAAAAGCAAAGAAGAGCAGAATCAAAAGCACGAGTCACAACCACGCCAAGGAGAGCGACGACAACAACGGCGACGCCGACCAGAATCACAACAACGCCAAGAACAACCAGCCAAACAAGACAGCCATCGAGCCAACAAGCAACCGCAACGGAAACAACAGCGCACATGCTGGAAAGCATTAATTTTGTCCACGTGTTTTCGGCGGGCTGAATGCTTCTGGACATGGTAGCGCCTGGGGTCATAAACACATCTTCGCAAATACCGTCAGCATGAGTTGGTTGTCATGGCCATCAGCAGAAGCAGCCTGCTACAGCTGCAGCAGTCGCGGCAGTGACAGCAGAGGCAGCAGCGGCAGTAGCAGCAACAAGAAAACAAGTGACACGACATCCTCATCATCGTCACGCTATTCGCTACTGCAATTCATCTCAGGCCGAGGCGTATTACACAAATCATACGCATCGCGACTTGCGCCAGCAGGCATCAACATGCATCATCGCAAGCAACAACTGAAGACACAGTTCATCACTTGCACAAGCTCTGCCTGCGAGTTTGTTGAAAGCACCAAACACACGCGATATGCATTGTTGTGTCCCGGCCTCTGCATCTCAATCTGGTACTTGAAATGGATCTGCCTCAGCTTCGCGCTTTGGACATTTGCAAGCGCAAGGCCCTTGGCATGGCTGCGCAACACAACTACCAAGCAGCTATCAGCATGCTGTCAAACAACCTTGCAGCGTCTGAATGGCGATGGACTGCTTGATTGGCATTATCTGGCATGTTCTGTGGAGGCAAATGATGGCTTGCCCGCCACGCATCTTTGAATCCCTTGTCTAAATCTCGTACCCAAGGAAGAACACCTGGCTCGTCTTTTAAACTGCCGAGATCAGTATCGTCTCGGAGGTCAATATTGATCTGCCATATCCAAACTTGTTGGAAGCCACTGATGCATGCCCACGGCTGCATCTGGGAGGGGCGCAGTTTTCAAATTCGCTTGCACTGACTTTGGCTCTACAGCGCTCTGCGCTCTGCGCCTGTTTCGCAAAAGGGTCCCTGGAGCGCACTCCTTGGAAAGTCTTGGCGCGCTCCCGCTTCACATTGGGACTGTTGAAACATGATACAACTGACTTTTGCCCGACCTTCGCTTTTGTCTTTAGAGGGGACAGCAGCTTGCAATCAAACCGCCGCCCGGCCCTTGGCATTTTCTCAGCTTCCCGGCTCCAAGAGCATGGTGGCTAAATGCACCGCGCGCTCCCCGCCAATGAGCAGCACCTTGACTGTGGGCGCCAAAAAAAAACTGACGGGCGCCTTTGGCGCATTTGAGTAGATAGTCCTACTACCTGGTCGCATGTTGTTTCTACTACCTCCAGTGGAGAGGTGAGAATAAGGGTACCCTTTTTTCTGTAGTCTATTTAGGGAACCCTCCCCCAAAAAGGGTAAAAGGGAACTACTGGGGGGACCTTGTCTAGTAAGGCCTGTGAGAACCCTTGCTAGCCGTCTTGGTTGACCCAAACAACATTACGCTCAGGTTCAGTCAGGCCAAAAAAGCTGCTTTGTGGCACGCTCCTTGGCAAAACCGGCGCCCTCATGGCGTCCTTGGGGCACCTCGAAAGGGCCCCTCTGAGAGGCAAGTGGGTCTTCCAGGGGTAGCTTTCAGCGTCCATGCCTGCCAGTGCCTCTTGCCGAGCAACTCTTGCCAAACTTGATAAGCGAATAATTGTATAAGGAGGACACCGGAATGTCACCAGTAGACCCAACGCATCCCGGTGGCAGAAGTTCCAAAGTTATAAGGACTATGAGTTCTTTCTTTTCTCGCACTTCATCTTTCTCTTTCTCTGCTTCTTGCTCTTCTCTTTCTCTCTTTATCTATCTTTCTTCTTGCTCTTCCTCCATTTTTGCCTGGGTCGTCACTCATGGCCCTGGCCCCGGGTAATCTGCTGTTTTCTTAGACCTTCAGTCAGTTTCGCTCACGGACGCAGCGCTTTTCCTTGCGGAGCAGTTCTTTTCTTTTGGGGTTTGGGCGGCAAGGGGGGGCTGGGTGTGTGTGTGTGTGTGCGCGTAAACCAGACTCTCAGGCTCCAAGCGCGGCACAAGCATACAGGTATTTGACACAGGTGAGAAGTGCCTGGGGCTTAGGCACGTGAACAAACACACGCTACACCTGGCGGCCTGATGCCATCTTTTTTATAGATTGGGAGCGCCGTCAAAGTGCATCGATCGCCGCGAAAAATCTCGGCTCGCGAGCCGTGCTCCTCAGCATGGCAGCGCAGCTGACAAGGCTGACCCTTGAGATGAAGATGCGGTGAGCAGAGAAGCTTGTAGCTAACGCAGCGCGTTGGCTGGGTACTTCAGACATACCAAACGGAAGGACACGGTTTGCACTAGCTCTCAACGCCACGCACAAGGTCGCGTCGTCATCCTCCGGGCCTGTCAGAGATGGAACTCCTCCTGCCAAGAACTTCTCTGTTTCAAGGAATTGACCTGCCTTGGAGGCTCCCCACCAGTTTTGACGCGAAGCTGGGTGCGCCTCTGTCAGCTCCTGCACATTCGCAATTAAGGCACCGCTCCTTAGCGCGCCGGACCCGGTCTTCTGCTGCCTCGTCAAGCGCTCGTCCGGCACTGGAGGCGAAAAAGGCCAGCTACCAAGACGCGTGCGGATGCTCTCTTCTGCTGCGAGAGCACTGAGGGCGTGATGCAGCTTAGGAAGCTCGACGCGAGCAGGCTTCTCACCATCAGGCGTGGTGTTCTTGTGTTTTCTGCCTGTCTTCAGAAAGGCGACCTGGCTTGTTTGCACTCAAACTCAGCGACATGAATAAGGGTGGCGCAGAAGTTGACTGGCTCCAACGACAGGACGGCGCCATTCGCGCAGGACAGTCTTCAAGCAGTCATGTCACGCGCGGGTAAAGCTACACAGCACTCCTACAATCTTGAAAGGGGGCTGCGAGTGGACGGCACAGTCATCCACAAACGCTGTGTGAGCCCCGGCGCAGTCAGAGCATCTGCATCGCTGCGCTTCAGCCTGAGGCCAAGTTGGTCGCCGGCGCTCGGCCACAGAATTTTGGGATGTGCAGGCTGCAAGCCTTTGGATCGAGTCCAGGGGAAGTGTCACAGCTTGGGCCGAAGGCTGCAAGCTGCAGCTCCCATTTGCTGATGTCAAACACCGCAAGCCCAAAAAAAAAAACGAACGCGCCCTTCTCCCGAAAAAAAAAAAAATCGCGCGTCGGAGGGTGCGTGGCAGGTAGCCGGGGAGACATCAAACAAGAGGCGCCGAAGCAACAGGAGCACGTTTAGTCAGCCCCCAGATCTGAGACTACGTGTGTTGCAGCGTGCGCTGCTGCAATACAACCGGACGCTTCAGCAATCCAAATATGCAATCTTAGCTTCCAAACATGCATTTTGAAGGCTTCAGCCCTGGTAAACATGCATTTGTATTCCTCGAGAAGCCCTTCAAAAAATGCATCTTTCAGGGGGTCCCCGGCAGAACAAATGCATATGTTTCGCTTGTAAAGATCCATTGTTCAAGGTTCACACTCCCCCAGAAGTCCTACAAAAATGCATGTTGAAGGTGTCAGCAATGCTTCCATCTTCGTCGTTTTCATTTGACGCTACTTTAAACAGAAATTGCCAATCAAAACCAGCAGATGGCGGAAATATGGTTCTTTGCTTGCGTGGAAGGTCTCAGATACCTTTTCTCATGCCTGAAGCAAACTGATCGGGGCACCTACGCCGACTTAGCCTTGCTGGTCTTTGCCTATCTCTTCTGGTTCTCTATCTATCTATCTATCTATCTATCTACGTACCAACCTATCTGTTCAGATCTACTTTTGCATCTATCTATGTACCTATATGTCTATCTGTTCATATTTCTGCCTAGTCTTTCCACCTATTTACCTGGCTGTATGCCCTTAAAAGATGTATCCATGTGTCATCCTGTTTCTTTACCGACGCATGCGGTTTATCTCTCGATCTAACTAGTTTGCGATCTTTCTATCCATTCATCTATCTGCCTGTGTGTGTGTGTATAGGTCTATCCACCTGTCTACCTACCCGTCTATCTATCTACCTACCTTTCCATGTGTCCTATCTACCTGTCTAATCTGTCTAATCAATCAACCAAACCGTTTATCTGGCAATCAATCAATATGTTGATCAATCCATTCATCCATCCATCCAATCAATCAATCAGTCAATCAATCCAATCCAATCCAATCCAATCCAATCCAATCCAATCCAATCCAATCCAATCCAATCCATCCAATCAATGAATCTAATCAAATCAAATCAAATCAAATCAAACCAAACCAAATCAAATCAAGTCAATCAATCCACCGATCAATCAATCAATCAATCTAGCCATCCATCCAGCCATCCAGCCATCCAGCCATCCAGCCATCCATCCATCCATCCATCCATCAACCTACATTAGAAGCAGAAATATTCCTCTTGCACGTGACTGATCAAGTTCCCATGTCCAACACTCATCACACATGTGAGCCATATCATCAACTTGGTACCAACGGACCCTACCCAAAACCCACGTCACCCTCGGCCTCAGGATCCTGTGTGCTGCCCATCTCCACATTGGTGCCTCAAGCAAACATTCCAGAGCCTCGATCGAAATGGAACCCCTCGACCAGGAAAAAAGTGAAAGGACGGACTCAAGAAATCGGTTCCGTCCAAATTAAAAACCACCCTGGAACCCACACAACCCACATTGATTTTCCGTGTGACCTACACATTGCCATGACTTTTGTTTCCGCAACCTTCAACCCACACAACCCCACACAACCACAACCCACCAAAGGATTGTCCTTGTGACCCGCACATGCCGTTTGTTTCCTTTCCGCGCCGACCTGCACTCAGGCGACAGCAGTTGGCCACCAGCAAGTTGCACTTGTGCTGCACGTGGCTTAGGCAGCCGGAGGAGTCCTGAGCTCGTCCAGCGAACGAGCACGGCCAAGGCTCGGTCTGTGGGTGTCCCGTGGAATGCAAAGGAGTCATCTAGGTCCTCCAGTAGGCAAGCTAGAATAAGTTGGTACCCGTATGTTTTCGTTGTTTTTCGGTAGTCTATTTTCGTAGGGGAACCCTCCCCCCAAAAAAAAGGGGTGAGAAAGGGCACCACTGGGGGACCTAGTCATGAAAGTCATGGGGCCATTCGGAACCTGGAACTTACAAATATGGATCCTCTGGGACATCTTTCACAGGCCTTTGACATCTCAGGCTGCTGTGTAAGTGAATGCAAGCAAGCTGCTTGCAAGGACAACATGCACGACCCATCCATGATTGCTCACCTAAATCATCCCATATCTGACCGAGCATGATGGATGAGGGAAGGTCAAAACAGGGATTTGGACCCCAAAAATGGTGGCTTTCCTTGTAGTTTCCCCTTCACATTTGAGCAGCCTATTGGTTACTATAGGCTTTGACATAAGTAACCCCAATGAAACCAGGCAGTAGAACCTACCAACATGGCCCTTGCGGCTCCTTTCGCGGAAGGTTGGGCGCTTACTTGTCACCGCGCCTGCGAGCGGATCCACACGTGAAGATCGGAGTCGATCGGCAGCAGCCTGGCAAATCCCAGTTGCGCTGCCCGTCCTCCCATAGCGTCCGTGAGACCCAGAAGATCAATCTAAAGAGTACCCACTGTCAGAAGCCATGTTAATGAGCGGGAGGGTAGTCATCCATTTTCCTGTTCAGTACAAAAAGGATCGTGTCCCGGCTACCTATACTACAGGGAAATGGAATCGCTAGATTACGGAGTGGATCCAGTGACCTCTATAGGACTATCCAGTTGTTTGATCTAGGTTTTACATTGTCGTGTTCCCGGTACTGGGTAACTGGATTTTTTGGGTTTCCAGGTGGCAAAGGGTATATTCAGGGTGGCTGCAAGACATGTCTGCAACTCAAAATATCAGACTCTCACCAGAAGGTCACCATGTTCAAGAGCAAAAACATGTTCCGACGGCATGTTTGGCAAGTTGCGGGGCTTTTCTTTGGTGTAATGCAGCACCAGGTGCATGTTGATAAGCTTCCGATGCCACTCGCACGCAAACTCAGGTAGTGATCAAGTCTCTGGTTCGATGCGGGACTTGGCAAGGCAAAGCTCTGATCTACCAAGAGTTGTCCCATATTTTGAGCTAACATGATGTGCCAGATGTTGCAAAAGGCGGGGCGACGGCATGGTCCGTTTGATCGCACAATGCCGAAGCAGCTGCAGAACAGTACTTACTCAAGCAATGTTGTTTAAGCTGTCCATGAGATACAGGGACGTGAATCAGAATCACTGTGTGTAACGTGATATTCATTTGGTGGGCGCAAAACATCCACACCATGTGTGAACATGCTCAAGCCATCATTTCCGTTTGGCAGCAGCACTTGTTCAATGACATCCGCATAGCCTACAGTACAAACATCTGAAGGAAAACAACACTTAGTCGCTCATATGTCGATTGAGGCAATGTTAGAACTAGTGAACCGTAGTTGTTCAGTGGCACGCTGTTCCCCTGTTTGATGGGTTCCTAAAGAAGGTCAACCCAAAAGTAGCCCCAAAAAAAGGGTTCGGAAGCTTGCCAATTGCTCAAGCAAATAGTAGACATGTCCAGTTCACGTACAGTCTCTTGTACGTCTTTCAACCGACCAACGAGCTCCGCTTTTGGGACCGTCGGGGGGGTTTTGGACCAGGGACAAAACTGGCTGGTCAGCAAGGAATGAGGGAATGACCCCCTATAAGTTCCCCAAATGGTTCATTCCGAACACCTCGGTCATTCTCTATCGCACCAGCAAATTTTTATCTTGGTATTCCCCTCGAAAATCCGGGGTACCAACTCAACAAGTAAGCCAGAAACCATTCAGGGTTCCCTGTATTCTGACATCCCCAAGCGGTTCATGCCTAACCCCCGGAAGAACACCCGAGAACACTCCATCCCTCCGCTCACCGCTCGATCCCCGCTCCGATGGATCCGACTCGACGCGACGACCGACTCCCGCGCTTTCGCTGCACCGTGGAGAGGTCCAAGGGCTGCTCCGCGCTGCTGCGCCGCAGCGCGGTCTTCTCCACGATGAGGTCCTCCGAAGCGGGTTGCTGGAGGGCTGGGCAGCCAGGTGGTTGACCTCAAGGGTGAGTTTTCTTTAAACAAATATGGCTGTGGCTGAACAAATGCACCCAAAATGGCACCTTGGTAGATGGAAACAAAGATCAACAACAGGTAGCCCCAGCTGTGTAACTTTGAGCATCGCAAATCCAGACATGTGGCTTGCCCCCTTGGCAAAGCATGAGTTGAACCAATCCAACTGGCTTCGATGCATGCGTAGGTCGCTTCCCGCGGCCGAAACCGCAAGGCACTTCGGCCTCTCAATGACCCCTCAGCAAGGTTCGTACTCAATACTCAGGGTTCGCTACTAAAGGCCATGTTGCCAGCATTTGGGCAACTGCCAATTGCGAATAGAGTGCATCATGTGCTTCTGAATGAAAAACACACGCAAAATGTATATTGAGAATATACATGTACAAAAAACAATATATACATACTAAATAGTTTCATATTACTTGGGCTCCTCTTTCATACATACCGTTTACATACCCAATGTGTGATTGATTTGTATGGCTGTTCCTTGGACAGCAGGCTAAGAACCAACACACACGGCTCATGTACCTCTTTGGTCGCCATCTACTCACGAATGCGTGTGACTCAGTGGTGAAAACCTGTTCCGCGGTTCCGCTCGATCTCTCTCCGTCTCCACTTCCACCCGTGGTGCGTCTTTTTGATGGGGCACTTTTCAGCTCGGTCTCGCGGGGAAGCCAAAAGGAGCAACCAATCATTTTGGATTCCGGTCCCCATTTTGACACATACCCATGTGGATGTTGTCATCAAATCTCTCGTGATGCTTAATGGACCCAGAAGCCCAGTGACGAACAGGGCACCGGTTTTGGTCGGTCTATGCTTTCACGAGCAGCCCACCATTAAGAATGAGACACAGCAACCTGGGTGGTTTCGACAGCTCCTGCTTGCCCTTCTGCGTGGGGTCGAAGGTGATAAAGTAGAAAGAGTTCTTGATGCTCTTCACTTTGCCTCGGTGCAGATGGTTGTCCCTCAACGATCTCGTTGAGCAGCGCAAAACAAAACCCGAGCCGACTTGGGGTACCAACATGGTAATCAAGGTTTATGTAGGCACTGCCACAAACTCCGTCAAACCAGGTATCAGCATGGCCAACAGATTTCTTTTTTTCTATGCGCTTCTCAGTTGGGACGGGTGAAACCCGATTTGACTACTGGGATGAACCACCTATTTATATCTATGTACTGGTGCAGGATTTTGTCCATCCACACCAGGAAGTGGTTAACAAATCCAGTCGCTTCCTTGTCAGCCTTTTCTGGTGCAACGCATGCTAGCTTTGATTCTAAAGCCATTAGCCATGCAAATTGCATCTGGTCGTGGGTCAACAAAAGGTACCCAAAATGGGTTGCCCTGGTAAAGGGGAACATGGACTAGAACCTGCGGTCCAATTCCTGGTGGTTTAATCTGTTAAAGGCGAACTTGGTCCTCACTGCAAACTCTGAACATGTTGTGGGCTGATAAAGCCCAGAAATCCTCTCTACCTTGAGGAGGGTTAGCTGTCCCCCGATTCCATTTTGCAAGTCGATCTACCCTTTCTGCAGCCTGAAGGGGAAACCCGGAAAAAACTAGACCACGGTTGGCCCGAAAGCAGAACATCGCAAGCGAGGTCGGCTCAACGCTGCAGGATGCGTTCTTTTTCCCTACACGAAGCATTCGTGAAGCAAGCGCGAGACAGCACCAGGCAAGGTGCTCTGTGCAAGTTGCTCTGTGCAAGTTGCTCTGTGCAAGTTGCTCTGTGCAAGTTGCTCTGCGTAAGTTGCCCCTGCGCAAGTTGCTCTGCGCAAGTTGCTCTAGGCAAGGCGCTCTGCGCAAACTGGTCGGTGCAAGTTGGTCTGCGCAAGTTGCTCTGTGCAACTTGCTCTGCGCAAGTTGCTCTGCGCAAGTTGCTTTAAAATGCAAGTTGCATCTTGCGACGCCCGCCCGCGGACCAGGGAGGAATCGAACCCGCGACCCGCCGGTTCCGGGAGCAGGCGCGCGAACCACGAGACAACTCCCGAGGACCAGTTCGAACAACAAAAGTCGCAAAAAACCTCGAGTTTTTGCACCTCGACCACGCCGATCCCCGCAGAGGGTTGCGCGGGCACCGCAGAAATCGCAAAAAACCATGGGTTTTTGCACCTCGACCACGCCGATCCCCGCAGAGGGTCGCGCGAGCACCGCAGAAATCGCAAAAACCATGCTTTTTGCACCTCGACCACGCCGATCCGCGCAGAGGGTCGCGCAAGCATGTTAAAAATCGCCAAAAACCTCGAGTTTTTGCACCTCGACCACGCCGATCCCCGCAGAGGGTCGCGCGGGAACTTTAGAAATCGCAAAAAACCATGGGTTTTTGCACCTTGACCACGCCGATCCCCGCAGAGGGTCGCGCGGGAACTTTAGAAATCGCAAAAAACCAGGGGTTTTTGCACCTCGACCACGCCGATCCCCGCAGAGGGTCGATTTTCGTGTAGTGTCGTCGGCACTACCCCGCCGCCCTAAGAAGAGATTTTAACTCCTCGCAAGTCAATTGCACTTGACTCCTTGCACTTGCAACTTGCACTTGACTCCTTGCTTGTTTCAAGGAGTCATTGCAAGGAGTCATTGCAAGGAGTCATTGCAAGGAGTCATGGCAAGGAGTCATTGCAAGGAGTCATTGCAAGGAGTCATTGCAAGGAGTCATTGCAAGGAGTCATGAGAGCCATTGCAAGTTGCAAGGAGCCAAGTGCATGGAGTCAAGTGCAAGTCGCAAGTGCACGGAGTTAAGTGCAAGTTGCAAGTGCAAGGAGCCAAGTGCAAGGAGCCAAGTGCATGGAGTCAAGTGCAAGTTGCAAGTGCATGGAGTCAAGTGCAAGTTGCAAGTGCATGGAGTCAAGTGCAAGTTGCAATTGCAAGGAGTCAAGTGCAAGTTGCAATCCTTGCCATGACTCCTTGCAATGACTCCTTGCAATGACTCCTTGCAATGACTCCTTGCAATGACTCCTTGCAATGACTCCTTGCATGACTCCTTGCAATGACTCCTTGCAATGACTCCTTGCAATGACTCCTTGCAATGACTCCTTGCAATGACTCCTTGCAATGACTCCTTGCAATGACTCCTTGCAATGACTCCTTGCAATGACTCCTTGCAATGACTCCTTGCAATGACTCCTTGCAATGGCTCCTTGCAATGACTCCTTGCAATGACTCCTTGCAATGACTCCTTGCAATGACTTTCATGATGATGATTCCTTGCAATGACTCCTTGCAATGACTTTCATGATGCTGATTCCTTGCAATGACACCTTGTAATGACTCTCATGAGAACAACTCAAGTGAACCCAGCGGAAGAACCCTTCGCCATGCTTTCGGGAAAAAACAAAAAACAAACAGGATGGTTTTTTTGTCAGGGGATCCCAGCATGGTATTTCTGCGTTTTGGCTTCCCTTCGCCAACCCAAAATGGGGCCAGCCAACCAAAAAAGAACAGACACAAAGACCCACACTGACAGATCCCTCTCTCTGGGCTCCTCCCTCCTTCCTGTTTTTTTCTCCGCGGCCATGAAAATTCGGGCGGCCGCGCCTAAGGCCCAACCACTGGGACTGGACTCCGTGGCCGAGAGCAGCACCTCGACCACCTGAACTCGCCACAGGACGTGGCCCTTGTGCCCGCTGGCGCCTAAGGGAAGCCAAGAAAATCTTAAAATCGGGTTCGTATAGGGGTTGAGTTGATTTTCAGAATTTCTGGGTATGGGGCTTGAATTGATGCATGACCCATGTATGGCTCTTGTCTATTGACGATTAACCACGTGTGTTATTAACAATTAATATGCCTGTTATCATTGGTTGTGTTTTGTAGAAGTGGTAATCATCTTGGTTGACACGCCCTTGTGGCGGTTCGAAAGGCAAGCCAAAAAGAACTCTATTTCAATATTAGAGCTTTAGAGACATGCCCTTTGCGGCTGGGCATGAAAGGGAAAACGGACACCCAGCTTCTTTCAAGATGGCAGTTTGTTGGATTTTCTCAATATGCAGCTTGTGGACAGGGGATTCATGCGCATCATGATTGAAACTGTCCGATTCGAAAATTCATCGCATGCGGAGTGCGAAAGGGCGCCGTTGAAGTGGCCTGCTTGCAGGGCTGGAAGAACTGCGAACGGTGGCTGCACCTTGGGCCCAACAATATCAACCCCCAAAACAAAGCTGTCCCTTGGTTTCCTCTTTTTTGAACACATACCAAAAGAACTACAAAGCGCCGTCCCTTGGTTTCCTACCACCTCCACACAAAACATGGGACTTCCCCCGCCTCGTCCACCTGCGGATCGAAATCATCGGCGCTCTCCTTGCGGGCTTCTCACCCGGAAACCATCCACTTGGGTTTGGCTCAAAATCAATCAGGAGGGGTTACGCAGGTGTTGGTCCATGTTTCCACTGGCCAGGGTTCCATTTTGGTACCGTTTTTTTGAGCCACAGCCATTTGCGTTCCGCACACTCGGCGATCCCTGTCGCTTGGGATCCGAGGAACGGTTGACAGGCAAGTTTTGCCCGTGTCAGCCTTGCAAAAAGAAGATCAGCGCGCCACGATTTGCGTTGCACCGGGTGATTGAATCGCACACTGATTCGTGATCCAAGTTCAATCATCTCATTCGCGGACCAACGAACGGATCCTGGCTGCAGCAAGAAGCACAGCTAAGGCCCCAAGGTCAGATTCAGATTGCAAGCCACAGTATGGCCATGAAATTCTGTAGGGAACACCCTGGAAAATGGTTAGCAAACATTAACCCCCCACCTAAATGATGTCCACCAAACGTGCCAGTCCTAAAAAATACAATCAGATCAACATGTTGTCGTTTTGGTGCCAAGCGAGTTCGTCATGAAAAGGAAAGCCGCCAAACAAAGGCTGCTTTTGCATGTCATGTCGTTGGTTGTTTGCCGGTCTGCTATTTGCTTGATCCAAAGGGATGTGCACTGCCATTGGACATGAGTTTCAATCACTTGCGTGCATTTATGTTTGTGATACCCTTTCTGGTGCAACCCCAAAAAAACAACGAGAACAGCAGGGCTTCGCAATATTCCCGCAGCCCCGTCCTCTGGCAAACGTCTCACTGAGGAGGACGGAACATCCCTCACAGGCCAAATGTCATCCTGGCGGATGTGAGACACGAACCAGAACAACAACATGAATTGTTTGAACATAAATCAAACAAATACCCACCCTTGTTGGAATTGAACAAAGTTTTGCTGAACATGTTTTGTTCCATCAAGATCATCTATCTGATCCTCACCCCAAATTCGTACCTTGGTGTCTTCTGAGGAACAACCCTACACTCAAGGAAGCCAAAGCTTACCAAACGACTCCTGGATGTGGCCACTTCACAATGGAAAGCAAGATCCATCCGGTCTTCAGTGTTTTTTCTTCCGACAGGCAGGGAGAGCCGACCATCTGAGAACAACAGTAAATGTGCTAAATAATCTCGCAGAACTCTTTTCTGGGCTGTCCGTTTTCAGATCCCCCGCTAAAAGTTTTTAGCTTTTAGTGGGTCAAATGGAAATCCAACCACTAAACACTAAAAGGCCAAAGAGCTAAGCGGATGGCTGGGAACCACCAAGTTTTACTCTTTATCAGCATCCTGGAACAAAAATCCTCCATGGCCGGCTTTCTGTACTCGGCATTGTGTTTTCTCCATGGCAATTGTAGGTGAAACCCAGTCCTCAAAGCGAACTTTGATGTTGTCGTCCCCATTGATGTCAATCAGCTCGCTGCTGTACCTGCCCATGCCAATCGCCATGGCTAGCATCCGCTAGCATCGGAGCAGAACCCGCTGCCCGGCAGGGTCGGGGATTTTTTGCGATCAAAGCAAATATAGAAATTGGGTTTGATAGTATAGAAGGATTATGTTTATACAATCGTAGTTAAAACTTAAACAAATCTATTTGATTGACACCTTTTCAGCATCCTGACCTTCTTGCCGCCGTTTTCATCGGGCGAAGCATTGTGCCTCCAGAAGGCCGCTCATGATACTCCGCGTGAGCTGCTCGTAGAGTAGCGATATGAAGTCATGTCGTGATTAGACATTCGAAGGCATCACACAGCTGACATGCCGAGATCCAAGGTCCGAAGGCTGAGGGGAAATCTCTGAAAGTCTCAAGTAGCACCTTACATGCGCATAGCCGGCTGCCTGCTTGACAACGATCGACTTGGCTCGTAAGGAATCACCAACCTTGGGATCTTATCCGATTGCTTGATGCTCCTCTTCCAAATCCAAGCCGAAGTGGGCAAAGCCCAAAACCCACTGTGGTTCTACCTGGTTAGTTTCATAGGCCTGGCTAGAACACTCACCAAATAATAGCACCACCTGCTCCAATGGTTGCTCAAAGTCGTTGGTGGACCATGAACCCCCCAAGTCACGTCCATCAAAGACTCCCTTACTACTTCCTGAGTGGCCTGGCCAAAAAGAAAGACACAACTTTTGGTTCAGCACTCAAATGGTCTCCCCCCCAAAAAAAATATCCCCGCACCCAACCCCAAAAAAAAACGGTCTCCCCCCTAACCCCTCCCCCCCCAAAAAGAAAGAAAGAAAGAAGGAAACAATTGGAGGAACTCAGCACCTGAGACTCCACCCCGTCAGTCCCCACACCAACGAAACGGCTCCGACTCCTCTCGTCGGACGAATAGCCCGAGGCTCACCAGGTCGTGGACTTCTGATTCTTCCGCACCTCCACGGGTGTTCCATGAAACCTCGGAAGTGGAGGAAAAGACCTTCATGGCTCCCTTTTTTTCTAGGAAGAGCCAAGAGGTATCTAGAGGTATCTAGAGGTACCAAAGGGTACCTGGGGAGCCAAAGGGGAAAGCAAAAAGACCTTGGCTCCGTTTTTCTGGGAAAGAGCCAAGAGGTATCAGGTACGGTACCTACAGGGTGCAGGTAGTTCCTGCTAGGGCCTTTAATGGAGGCACGCTCAAAGCGCCCGAGGTGCCGATTGCAACAAAGTGCTTTGACCTGAGGGTGCCCAGATTGTTCATGGTTCCCTTTTTCTGGGAAAGAGCCAGGAGGTATCAAGAGCCACCAAAAGACCCAAGAGATATCAAGAGCTCCTTTTTCTGGGACCCAAAAAGTATCAGGTACGCTACCAAGGGCTCCTGGCTGCTTTTTCTCGGGAAAGAGCCAACAGTCTTAGGTACGGTACCAAAGGGGACCTTGGCAGCTAAAAAGCACCAATCCGACATGGGAATGGGCACCAGGAACTGTCGCATGCAAGTTATGCAGGCTCTTTCATCTTTCCAGGCATGGTGTATAATTGGATTATCGATGTTGAGGCTGCCTCATCAACCTTCTTTTTCGACCGTCAGACTAAAACCTCGAGTTTCGGCTTCTTTCACATCTTGCCAACTGACTTGGAAAAGGCTCTTTTTGAACGATGCAATCCATCGTTCCTCGCTTAAGCTCGTCTGTCTCCAAACATTCAGAAAGCCCCCGACTTCCTCTCGCCGAATGCTAAGCCAATGGCGCCATTCCGCTTCGCGAGCCCGCAAGCCGCCCAGGCGAGCTTGCTCGTTGCAGAAAAGAAATCGACTGACTGGAGTTAGCTTCGGGTCATTATGTCCGCACACCCAAAGATGCAAATATGCAAAGTTGACTTCGCGTACTACTTTCGTACTTAAAAGTTGCGATTCTCGAGCCCAAGCTGCGGAAGTGGACTTCACGTACTACTTTCGTACTTGAAAGTTGCGATTTTGGAGCCAGCTGCGAAAGTGGACTTCGCGTACGACTTTCGTACTTAAAAGTTGCGATTTCGAGCCCCGGCTGCAAAAGTGGACTTCGCGTACTTTTTTCGTACTTAAAAATTGCGATTTTCGAGCTCCAGCTGCGAAAGTGGACTTCGCGTGCTACTTTCGTACTTAAAAGTTGCGATTCTCGAGCCCCAGCTGCGAAAGTGGACTTCGCGTACTACTTTCGTACTTAAAAGTTGCGATTCTCGAGCCCCAGCTGCGGATGTGGACTTCACGTACTACTTTCGTACTAAGTTGCGATGTTCGAGCCCCGGCTGCGAAAGTGGACTTCGCGTACTTCTTTCGTACTTAAAAATTGCGATTTTCGAGCTCCAGCTGCGAAAGTGGACTTCGCGTGCTACTTTCGTACTTAAAAGTTGCGATTTTCAAGCCCCGGCTGTGAAAGTGGACTTCGCGTACTACTTTCGTAGTTAAAAGTTGCTTCATGTACTGCTTTCGTACTTAAAAGTTGCGATGTTCGAGCCCCAGCTGCGAAAGTGGACTTCACGTACTACTTTCATCTATATATCTTTTTATCTCTCTGTTTATCTATCTACCTATCTATCTACCTATCCATCTATCTATCTATTTATCTATCTCTCTCTAACTAATTATCTACTTTCTATCTAGTCTGTCTATCTATCTATCTATCTATCTATCTATTTGTCTATCTATCTCTCTATCTCTCTATCTATCTATCTCTCTCTGTCTTTTGATCTATCGATCGATCCATCTATCTATCGATCTACATATCTACTTCTTACATATCTACCTTTCTATCTACCTACCCATCTGTCTACCTATCTTTTTATTTTCATTTTATTTATCTATCTCTCTCTAACTATCTACTTTCTATCTAGTCTGTCTGTCTATCTATCAATCTATTTATCTATGTATCTGTCTACCTATCTACTTTCTATCTAATCTACCTATCTATCTATTTCTCTACCTATCTATTTTTCTATCTATCTATCTATCTATCTATCTATCTCTCTCTCTCTCTTTTGATCTATCGGTCTATCTATCTATCTATCCACCTATCTACTTCTTTATCTATCTATCTATCTATCTATCTATCCATCTATCTATCTATCTTTCTCTCTCTCTCTCTCTACTTTCTTTCTAATCTATCTGTCTATGTACTTTCTATCTAATCTAATCTATCGATCGATCGATCTATCTATCTATCTATCTTTCTCTCTCTCTCTCTAACTACCTACTTTCTTTCTAATCTATCTATCTATCTATTTTCTATCTAATCTAATTTGTCGATCGATGTATCTATCTATCTACTTATCTATCTATCTATCTCTTTATCTATCTCTTTATCTATCTATCTATCTATCTATCTCTTTATCTATCTATCTTTCTCGCCTTGTATCTATCTATCTATCTCCATTTATTTGTCTATCTATCTACTTTCTATCTACTTTGTATATACTTTCTATCTACTTTCTATCTATCTATCTAATCTATCTAATTCTATCTATCTATCTATCTATCTATCTATCTATCTATCTGTCTATCTATTTCTCTATCTATCTATCTGTCTATCAATCTCTTCTCTATCTCTCTACCTGTCTATCTCTCTAACTATCTAGTTTCTTTCTAATCTATGTATCTATCTATCTGTACCTAAACTTGCGAAAGTGCAGCCCCTGCCACGAAATCTGCACTTTGCACTTGACCTTGCGAAAATGCTGCCCCTGCCACGAAATCTGCACTTGACCTTGCGAAAGTGCTGCCCCTGCCACGAAATCTGCACTTGACCTTGCGAAAGTGCTGCCCCTGCCACGAAATCTGCACTTGACCTTGCGAAAGTGCTGCCCCTGCCACGAAATCTGCAGTTGACCTTGCGAAAGTGCTGCCCCTGCCACGAAATCTGCACTTGACCTTGCGAAAGTGCTGCCCCTGCCACGAAATCTGCACTTGACCTTGCGAAAGTGCTGCCTCTGCCACGAAATCTGCACTTGACCTTGCGGAAGTGCTGCCCCTGCCACGAAATCTGCACTTGACCTTGCGAAAGTGCTGCCCCTGCCACGAAATCTGCACTTGACCTTGCGAAAGTGCTGCCCCTGCCACGAAATCTGTACTTGACCTTGCGAAAGTGCTGCCCCTGCCACGAAATCTGCACTTGACCTTGCGAACGTGCTGCACCTGCCACGAAATCTGTACTTGACCTTGCGAAAGTACTGCGCCTGCCACGGAATTCAATCCTTGCGAAACCTTCGTGTTGCCGTGCCAATGGGCCCGCGCTGCGAACGTGATCCGACAATGGTCCGTCAATAGTCCGACAATGGTCCGACAATGGTCCGACCAGGCGCCGCGAACAGGCTAGCTGCCAGCTCTCCGGAGACACCAATTCATGCACGGGGCCACGCTTTTTGCAGATTCCTTACTCCCACCACACGCGCGCGCGCATATTTTCTCGCGTGCTTGTTCCTTCTCTTCATCTGTCTCAGAGAGAGCTAGCTTTCAATTAGTCGCCGTAACACGGAAGTTCCTTCTAAACTTCCTTTGACTAGGACTCAAGCATACAACCACGAAATCATCCAACCACACAACCGCACAAAAACACAATCACACAACCGCACAAGCATCCAACCACACAACTAAATAACCACACAACCATACAAACACACAGACACACAGACACACACGCACACACACACACAAATACTTCACACAACCACACAACTACGCAACCACACCAACACACACACACAAATACACAAATACACCATTACACGTATATTATATGTTACATACACGAATACAAAACACACACACAGACAGACAAACACACAATCGCAAGAACAAGCACAAATACACGAAAACGCAAATACAAAACACAAATAACAATATACACAAATATACAATCACGCAAATACGCAATGACATAGAATACACACATATACAACACAACACACAAATACACAAACACACCAACACGCAAACACGCAAACACACCCGCACACACACACACACAAACATACAAGCGCACAAACACGCAAAATCACAAAGGCATGGCACCCATCTGCTCAAGCATCCAGAGATTCTCTCCGCCTGAGACAGCTGACAAATGACCCAAGACCAATATAATGTGAGCACCTTTGTGGGCCAAGCCAACCATTGGGAGTTGCGCAAACACACATGCAAACGCCTAGCGTGACTGAAAGCGCACCAACACATATAAACACCGATACCAGTGCGTGATTTGAGTATGAGACAGGTTCTGAACCATTCGGATGGCAATGTGGTCTCTGGCCGGGCCCAATGGTTGCGCATACAGCGTGTCACACGTTGGACGCTCAAGATTCGATCATGCCACGCCGAAGCTCAAGGTGAAACATGTCTGCCTGCCTCAACCTTGACTTGTGGAACATCGCAACGGCATGTGGCTGTGGGTCAAAACCAATGGTACCATTTTGGTGTAGGTGCACCACCCATTTCAGTCTATTTTAGTGGATTGGAATGTTCACTGGGGGTACGATTTGGATTTTGACCCATGGCCATGTCAGTCCTTATTGGGAAGGTCTGACCAAAGAGCTTCCTCTTGAATGGCGTCTACCACCTTCCGGGCGTGTTCCGCTGCTGCGCGCTGAGTGGCCCAATTCCTAGCGTGGAAGCAAACAAAAATCGTGCCACACGTTTTTGGTATCGATCGGTGGCTACACTTGGCTGTGGGTCAAAAATAGGTACCCGAAATGAAACCCTGGTAAATAGAAGCAAGGACTAAAACCTGCGGTCTCCTGATGGTTTCATTTTGATCCATACCCACTTCTTCAGGTACAAAACCAACTGCGAACAGCGAGTGAAAAGGAAGAGAAATGGAGTACAAATCGGGTGTACGGCATACTTTTTATCACGCCGAGATGCTGGCATAGGCACTCTCCAAATGATTTAGCCGTCATGACTGCCAGGCAGGAGTAATCCTCGGCAACCAGGTCACCCATGTAGATCCAGGGAGTCCATAAGCACACCTCTGCCAGCCACTGTGTGTCATCCACGAGGTCCTTCTTCTCACCTCGGTGCAGAGACAAAGTCTCTTCGTCCCGCTTACCCTGAAACACCATTCCAAAAGCGTACCCAAGCACAAAGGGATCTAATGGGAGCGCGGGCATGTGCAACTTGCAATCAAGTCTGCGCGCGACGAACTTGTGTTCATTTGCCGCGGACAAAAGACACGGAAACATTGGCCCCTCAGGTTTTGTGCGGAACTTGGGGTCTGCGCGCAGTTGCGGAAAGTCCTGTTGCCCTTTCTTTGGGTCGAGGGGCCTGAAAACAGCAAAAACAGGACACCTGTCTCCAAATCGTTGCTTTATTGCTTGAGCATACCAGGTGTGCTCTTCAAGCAGGCTCAAAGCGGCCAAGGCTTCAATGGCCAAGTAACGATGGACGTGCCGTCTGTGCGATTTGTGGAGAGGTAGGTGAATCCGACGACCATGAAACCAACAAAGCCAATCACAGCTTCGCAGTGCGTTGGTCAAACGCCAACTAGGCGACATAAAGAGGACGCCCGTGCTGGAGAGACGCGCGTGCGTGTGCATGTGTGTGTGTGTCAGCAGCTTTTCAGTTGCGGTAGCTTTCGACTTACAGCTTCCTGGCCTTTCCGGAGTTCACATGGAAAGGAAAGGACAGATCAACTCAGCCGGGCGGGTCGAGAACATGTTCCAGCTGACGTGTCACCAAGTTGTGGCAAAGCCAGGCACGGAAGGCAGCCCGCAATGTATTGCTTGGCAACACGCCACGTCGCTGCCAAACGCGACGTGGCGATCTTGCCATATATCCACGCGCGCATGTGTCACATGTTTTGGTTGGTGCACTTTGCGTGCTACTCTTCTGCAGGGGGCTGCGAAGATGCAACTTGACTTACGCTAAAAGGTTGTAACTTTCAAGCTCTACGAGGGTCCTTGAGCGCTACCCGTGTCCATCCGAAATGTATCGCTCCAGGATTCGCTCCGGAGACTTCCTGCACATCCACTCGCAGCGAACGTGTTTTTGCAGAACTGTTGGTGACTTCCTGCACATCCACTCGCAAGGTGGGTCATAATCAAAACCCGGTATTAAAGTGGTCTACCCAGAACTATGGGAAGAACTAAGAAGGCGTAACCTTCAGCTACCCGGGTTCTGATTGTGGCTCACATGAGGACATGCTGACTTTAACAGCGCACGCGTTGGCGCTTGCAAGGAATGGGACAATTTCAGCGGGCTGTCCGTGACGCATGCTGCGCTGGACCAACCCATTTGTTGTTCGGGTCTTCCTTAACTCACAGCCGACTAAATCAACATTGGAAGTGTGCCATCTACTTGCCACGTCTTTCTAAAGGGACCCCCTCTCAAAAAAACGGGAAAAAAAGACACGCCCCTTCACTCAACTGAGGTAGTAAGCGATCCGCCCCTGCACCTTGAGGTAGGCAAAATCTGCGGAAGATCCGCCGAGGAAAACCACCTCTCCTTTCGCCTGAGATTTTGACTGTTGGGGGTTAAAGCCACGAACTGAGGTTGTTCCCCTTTGAGCTACTACTTTGGGGATGGCGTTGGCATAATGGCGCCAGTGCTAGGCTTATCGACCGAAGCAAAGCGGGCCTGCTCTCCCCTGAAACAAGATCAGGTACACACGGAATCCCGCCAGGACACAATAGGACACACAACTAGTTGACACAGCGACATTGAGAAGTTTTCCAGCAAAGCAGCCACGACCATGTCACGCAGTGCGTTGGTGGCAATCTCATGCAAGATCTTGAATGTTTGCACGTCATCGCTGGCCAGCAGATTCCTGATGCCCGACACACGTTCCATCCCGCGCGGCTTGGCGAAATGCGAGATGCGCAGAACCGCAAATCGACAAAAAAGATGCAGGAGATTCCAAACTTCAGCCATCTCAACATGGGGACCCCATGGGACCCCTTCCCCTGGGGTGTGGTGGCTTTTCTGATTGAGTTCCTGGACTCCCATCAAACGTTGCGAATCGTGATACAACAAAAAGGGCCTAACCCCACAGACCTTCAACCCCATGGAAAGGGGGAGATTCCAACTTGTATCACAGAAGTCGGGATAAACTTCGAGTGATCCCGCAACTCTCATTCCGATGGGTGCAAGCCCGGTTGAAACAATCACCGCCTTGGGTTCCAAAAATGGAGGAGCGCTTGCATCCTGACATCCAGAAGCCCCAAACCAACGTTTTCCAGTGGGCTCTGTAACAAAATGATCCATCCGCTTTGGTCTCAAAGGGACATTAAGAACTGTGTGCTATTTAGCATCGAGTCATATTGCCTGTTAGCTGATGTATCCCTTCAATGGCAGGCAGAAAAGAGTCTCAACATGGCGTCCCACAAATCAATATGCAACATCCGTTGTGGGACTTGCCGTTCCTGTTGATTGTGCTGATGCAATGCTGCTGAAACGCTCTTATTTTAAGGCGTGTGTTTCACCGAGAGCGAAGCCAAAGCCGAGGACGGTGAGTGAAGAGAGGGCTGGGAAGTGACCACGATTTTGACGCCTTTCCTGCACAGCAGGGATAAACAGTGCTAGTCAAGTGAACGATGAAATCAAACTGTGATGTGTGGATCGAATCTCAAATGTTGGTCTCCAATGCTTGCTAAAGATCCACATCAGCCCACAGTCAGTCTCTGTGTCTGTCATTCCATTTCCCGGATCGCAGTAGAACCTTGTGCATGCACGAAGCATCGCTGCAACCCTTCACGTGCCAACTTTGCACTGGCTGATTGAGTTCTTCTCTGAACAGTCAGGTTCTGGCTGGGCTGCGATCTTACTGTAGTTATTTACTGTCTGCAGTGTTTCGCACGTGAGCCTCCGTGACAAAGCAATGCAACACTCAAACAACAATGCCACCCAAACATCAAACTTTAAAAGCTCAATACTATCTGGGCAACCCGCTAGTTGTACAACACTTCGTTTCAGCATTCATGCCCAGACTCAAAGTGAGCCCTGTCGGTGGTTCGATGGGCAGGGAAGGAGTGGCATGAGCCACTGAACCATCCAACTGGTTTCCCCAACGCCGATCCGTGAGTCAACCCTGTGCGGCTCCTTCCCTCTTCAACCCCCGTGTTTTCCCGAGAATCTGAAGGAAACTGATCTTGCTCAGGGCGTTGCGGAATCTGGCGAAGTAGAGCTCACTTCTCAGCTGCTGCGACAGGAGCTCCAACAGTGGCACCTTCAAATCCGAGGATTTCGCCTGCTGCTTGAGGGCATACCTTGCAAGCACACGCCATGTGCGGGTGAATCCATACCTTCGGCCTAGTTGGACATGGGTATGTGGTATGCGCCTTTGAATATATATATATATATTTATTTATTTATATATATATATATATGTATATCCGCCGACCCCGCCTAGGAGCATGCTCAGGCGGGGCGGCGCCTGGGATACCGAAGGTCCCATCGAATGGTCGTAGGTGCGCTAGCTTTCTGCCAGGCTGGTCGGTCGCTGCAATGGTGTTTGCTGCTGCTCTCTCTCTGTCGCCCTGGCCCTGCCTCGGCGGTTCTCGCGCTTGCTGCGAGGCTGTGGCTGCCGGGCTCTGGCTAGTCTGCACTGCGCTTCTTAGTGGTTTTCGAAGGTGCCGTTAGGCACCCTCCGAGCGTCCCTGTTCGGTCCCTTTTCCGTCGCTTTTTGCACGCCGTGCCACTGTGCTTGGGTCCAGCGGGGGGGCGCCCTGGCTGGCGTGCCTTAGCTGCTCTTGTGCTTGCTGCAGGGCTTTGGCTGCGAGGCCCTGGCGAGTCTTCTTAGTGGGTTTCGAAGGTACCGTTAGGCACCCTCCAAGCCTCAATTTTCGGCTCTTTTTCGGTCCCTTTTTCCACGCCGTGCCACTGCGCTTGGGTCTAGCGGAGGGCGCCTTGGCTGGCTGCGCCCTGGCCGTGCCTTAGCTGCTCTTGTGCTTGCTGCAGGGCTCTGGCTGCGAGGCCCTGGCGAGTCTGGTTTCGAAGGTACCGTTAGGCACCCTGCAAGCCTCAATGTTCGGCTCTTTTTCGGTCCCTTTTTGCACGCCGTGCCACTGCGCTTGGGTCTAGCGGAGGGCGCCCTGGCTGGCTGCGCCCTGGCCGTGCCTTAGCTGCTCTTGTGCTTGCTGCAGGGCTTTGGCTGCGAGGCCCTGGCGAGTCTTCTTCGTGGGTTTCGAAGGTACCGTTAGGCACCCTCGAAGCGGCTCTTTTTCGGTCCCTTTTTGCACGCCGTGCCACTGCTTGGGTCTAGCGGAGGGCGCCCTGGCTGGCTGCGCCCTGGCCGTGCCTTAGCTGCTCTTGTGCTTGCTGCAGGGCTGCGAGGCCCTGGCGAGTCTTCTTCGTGGGTTTCGAAGGTACCGTTAGGCACCCTCGAAGCCTCAATTTTCGGCTCTTTTTCGGGGGGGGTCTAGCCGAGGGCGCCTTGGCTGGCTGCGCCCTGGCCGTGCCTTAGCTGCTCTTGTGCTTGCTGCAGGGCTTTGGCTGCAAGGCCCTGGCGAGTCTTCTTAGTGGGTTTCGAAGGTACCGTTAGGCACCCTGCAAGCCTCAATTTTCGGCTCTTTTTCGGTCCCTTTTTGCACGCCGTGCCACTGCGCTTGGGTCTAGCGGAGGGCGCCCTGGCTGGCTGCGCCCTGGCCGTGCCTTAGCTGCTCTTGTGCTTGCTGCAGGGCTTTGGCTGCGAGGCCCTGGCGAGTCTTCTTTGTGGGTTTCGAAGGTACCGTTAGGCCCAGTCCTTCTTTAAGCGCTGGTTTCAGCACTGATTCGCGAATCAGCGCTGGTTTGACAAGGAAAAGTAGGGTTTTTGTGTCGGATCAGCGCTGATCCACTCGAGCAAGCGCTGAAACCTTCGAATAAGCGCCGGTTTCAGCACGGATTCGTCGAATCCACGCCAAGATGGCAAGGATCCAAGTTGACACTGATTCGACGAATCCTCGTCACGTGACAGGGCTTCGATGAGCCCTTGTTGGGTTGACACTGATTCGGCGGGTCAAACTGCAAACAAAAAACAGGAGCTTAAGCTTCCTTGGGCCTGCGAAGGGAATGCGTGATGAGTTAAATTTGACAATTTTGGAATGAGCAACATCAGTATTATTTTACATTAGCACGTGCGTGCTCTTGACCAATTGGCTGTGAGCATCCTGTAACTGATTCGTTTTGAAAAGAAGGCTGAGTTTGTGAGCACATGGACCATGAAAGGAGCTGCGGTGATGCAGGCGCACTTTGTCTATCGCGAGCGAGCTGCGCAGTCCTGCGCCCGGTCAATCCTGCTGCAAAAGTGGAACTTACGGAGCTGCCTCCTCTTCTTTTTTGTTTGCTTTTGCCACGAGCCCGCCAGGAAAAAGAGGTTGGGCTATTTTAGGCGGTCTCGCTTTCTCTTTCTCTTTCAGGCTCTCAAGAAGTTGTGCATCCTAACGTCAGTAGAGTATCCATCTTACCTCCATATATTTTCCTAATCCTTTCTCACATTAGGTGCCACAGGGTGGACAAGTTTATGCGCTAGACGCGGCAGAAAGTTTTGACTTCTGACAGCCGGAATCACGGCTTGTTGCGTCGGTTTGCTGTCCACTTAGGCCGCAGCCGTGAAGTGCGAAGGAGACGAAAAGGAAAGGAGCGCAGAGCTCCTCCTTGTGTTCCTAAAAGGAGAGAGAAAGAGAAAGAGAAAGAGAACGAAGAGAATAATACAGAAGAACAGCGGAAGAGGAAGAGAAAGAACACGAGCAAGACAAAAAGAAAGGTAGCGAGAAAAAGAAAGATAAAGAACAAAAGACAGAGAAAAAAGAGAAAAAGAGAAGGAGACAAAGAGAGAAAGAGAGAAAGAAAGAAAATAAAAGAAAAGAAAGAAAGACAGAAAGAAAGACATAAAGACGGAAAGAAAGAAAGACAGACATAAAGAAAGAAAGCAAAGCAACAAAGACAGAAAGAAAGAAAGACAGAAAGAAGGAAATAAAGAAAGAAGGAAAGAAAGAAATAATGAAAGAAAGAAAGAAAGAAAGACAGAAAGACAGACAGAAAGAAAGAAGTAAATGAAAGAAATAAAGAACTAATGACATAACGAAGGAACAAGGAGAACGACAGACAGACAAACAGACAGACAGAAAGAAAGAAAGACAGAAGTAAAGAAAGAAACAAATAAAGAACTAATGACATAACGAAAGCAAATGGCGAACGACAGACAGACAAACAGACAGACAGACAGACAGAAATAAAGAAAGAAAGAAAAATAAAGAAAGGGAAAGATAAATACATAATCATTTACAGAAAGAAAGACATAGCAAGGAATAAATAAATCAATAAAGAAAGAAAGACACAATCAATGAGTAAAGAAATGAATGAATAAACAAGAAATGTTTGAATAAAGACATGAATAAATACAATAAAGAAAGAAAGAACGGAAGACACAGAGAACGAGAGAAATACCAAGACAAAGAGAAAGAGAGATACAAAGACGAAGATAAAGAGAAAACGAGAGAAAGATAAAGATAAATAGAGAGAGAGAGAGAGAGAAACAGAGAAGGGGAAAACAAGCCTGCTGCAAACTATCGTTCTTATAGTTTTGAAACGTCTGCCAACCGGCTTCGCAGGCTTCACGGGTGTACAAACTGTTCCCTTTCTTTTACTTTTGTCGTTGGTTGATGTTTGGTACTTGGACCAAGCCCTGGGACCCTCCCATTTCCCCAGCATTGCCCTGAGATTGCTTGCGGTGTCTCTCCTGTTTTTGTTCCTTCGCTTGATGTTGATTTTCTTTGTGCCTTTGCAGGCGTCACCTGGCCAACATGTTCTAGTTATGTTCAAAACACTGTTCATCACCTTTGCTTTCCCTTTTCTCATGGGAACTTTGTTATCTTCATTGCGTTTGCCTTCTTTGGGTTTGGTGGCGTGGAAATTTACGAAAACATGATGAACCAGAAAAAAAGGGCTGCTGGCTTTCAATTGGTCCCTTGGCCAGGGTGGATGGTGATGGAATTATGCCAGATAGTATGAACATATTTTTTGCAGGCGTCCCACTTAAAACATGATATGGGTCAAATTGTTTTTTGCAAAATTTGATCAACGATGCGTTGGATCAAAATTGATCAAACATGAATTGCTGGGAAGCACGTGGAATTGAGAGCGAACCCAAAAATGGAACGCTAACTAGTTTTCCCTGTGTGGTTGCGAGTTCTAGGGAAAATCATGTTGAGCCATCTTAATTGAAATCAAAACCCCTCGAAAAGAGGGTGTCAACCCCTCGAAAAGAGGGTGTCAACCCCTCGAAAAGAGGGTGTCACCTACGGCAACTGTAACCGCGACTCCTTGGGAAGAGGGTGTCACTCTTGGCCCAACACCCCTTGAGAAAAGGGTGCCATCCATGATAATTATTTCGTCGAAATACTTTAACACATAAAGACATGTAGTCACCAATTTGTCTGACAAAAGATTGGGCTGCAAAATGTTGAGACCACAGAAAGTTGTAGTCCAAATATGTTCCTTAATTGTATTGCATTTGTCAAAAGATGTTCAACTATCCCAAATTGTAATTACCAACTTATTTGTCAAGCATTTGGCCTGCAAATGCTTGAGGCCGCCGCACATGTGTAGTCCAAATATGTTCCTTAAATAACAAGTTGCTGTCAATTCTTTGGCCCGCAAATGTTTGAGGCCACAAGAGGCTATAACCCCGGATTGTCCCTTTCTCTATTTTTGAATTTGTTGGCCCACAAAAATGTGTAGTCACCAATCCCTTTTGTCATACATTTGGCCTGCAACATGTTGAGGTCACAGCGCATTGTAGTCCGGAAATGTTGCTTAACTATACTTTCAACATATGTTGGCCCATAAACATGTAGTCACATGTTTTGTCAAGTTGTTGGCCTGCTAACTTTTGAGGCCACAGTTGCAGTCCAACAAATGCTCAATGTCAAGCATTTGGCCTGCAAATGTTTGAGGCTGCCGTAAATGTGTAGTCCAAATATGTTCCTTAAATAGCAAGTTGCAGTCACCAATTTGTCTGTCAAATCTTTGGCCCGCAAATGTTTGAGGCCACAAGAGGCTATAACCCCGGATTGTCCCTTTCTCTAATTTGTTGGCCCGCAAACATGTGTAGTTACCAATCCCTTTTGTCATACATTTGGCCTGCAACATGTTGAGGTCACTGGACATTGTGGTCCGGAGATGTTCCTTAACCGTACTTTCGAAATATGTAGGCCTATAAACATGCAGTTACATGTTCTGTCACATATTTGGCCTGCAAACTTTTGAGGCCACAGGAAGTTGTAGT